TCGGGTGTTGTGTTGAGGCAGCTGGCGATGACTTTTCGGAGCTCTGCTGAATAGCAAGCAGGTATGTCAGGGTATCGACCCAGCTTGATCTTGGAGATGAGTTCGAAGTGAGTCTTCGCGTTGAAGGGAGGTGACTTGGTGCACATCTCGTATATGATGCAACCGAGTGCCCAAATGTCGGAATGGGGTCCATATTGCTCCGCCTTGCAAATCTCGGGCGACATGTAGAAAGGAGTACCAACGTAGGTAGAGGCGAAATCGTGCGATTGGAGGATCTTGGACAGACCGAAGTCGCCCAGCTTGACACTGTTGTCGTCTCCGAGAAAGACTGCGGGTTGTTAGTACAATCAAGCGACAACAGAAGGACCAGATACTGACTGTTTTCAGGCTTGAGATCTCTGTGGAGAATCATAGGCTTGCGTGGGTCACGGACTGGCTTCGCGTTGCCAACCAGGCCCATGACGTTGCGGCCTGCCGCAGGGGGGTCTTCGCCATAATGGCAGCGGTACAAGGCGCTGACGATTTGGCTGAAAATGCTCCAGACAAACTCCTCCTCACAAACTTGGTTCTTGTTCTTTAGGTCTCGAATGACGCGTCCGAGGTCGCCGTTTCCGCAGTATTCCATGTAGAGGTGGAGGTCTTGCGATGCCTTGATGTGGTCGCGTTCGAAGTAGGCGACAATGTTGGGGTGTCGGAGCTCCTTCAGGATAGACAGCTCAGCCTGCAGCTGCTCGCGTTCCTTCTGCGACATCTTAAGATAGCTGATTTCCTTGCGGCAGAGGATCTAGGCGGCGGTTAGCAAGTCGCGTGCGCAGGCTCTGTCGTGGTTGCATACATAGCCATCTGACTTTCGCTTGACCTTGCGAATGATACCAAAGGACCCATGGCCTATACAATGTCAGTACGCGTCTCCCGTCATACTCCCAGGTCCGGCCGTACCAATCTTCTCGAGCACATCGTACTTTTCTTCCTCGGGCATGGTGAAGGTATTGCTATTGCTCAAAAGACATGCAATTATGGAATGTAGGTAAGGGTAGCAAGCTGCTGGGTTAGTAGAGGTCGAAGGTAGTGACGGGTGTAGATTATGTACAATGAATGGGTGGGATGGAAGCCAGGTTTCCTTGGTGTTTGGGCCTGTTTACGCTAACGCCCGTCAACCCAGCAACGCCCACGTTTTGCAGTTGCCAGGTGGGACGCACCCTTGTCACCGGCCTTATCGATAGCACGCCGATCTACGCCGCCACTCGTCATCGCATAACAATCAGTAGTCACTCTCGCAATATGTCGGGGCCAGCGAGTGAATCCACTTTTTGCCACAGCCATGGACGTCAAGAAGAAGTATGAGATCGAGGCGGCCCTCGCGACAGAAGCCCAGGCCATCTCGTCGGGCCAGCTCAAGGAAGAGAACCCGCTAGACTTGAGCGATGATTTCAGGGTCTTTTGTGAGGCTTGTCGGAGGGGAGACTTAAAGGTTTGCCAGGAGATGATCTCGACGGGTGTGAACATCAACGCCAGGGATAAATTCGATTATACACCTCTTATCCTAGTAAGACACCCTTCTGCTTTGTCTGGACACTTTGTTACCTGAACAAGAGCAATGCGCTGACCGCTGAAGGCTAGTCTCTGCGGTCACTACGAAGTCATAAGGTTGCTCCTTGAAAACGGCGCACTCTGTGAAAGAGACACTTTTCAAGGGGAACGATGCCTGTACAACGCCCTCAACGACCGTATACGCAACTTGCTATTATCCTACGATTACGCGAAAGCTTCCAACCCCCTCCAACCGCTGGCGGCGCACATTACTTCACTCCTCACGAGGACTTCGCCTAAGACGACAGACATCACAATTACAGCCTATGGTCAAGAATTCCATCTTCATAAATTCCTCCTCGCGGCACGATCGCCGTACTTTGCGAAGAAGCTGGAAGCAGCACCGAACACGGCCTCGTGGAAGCTACCAAACACCATACCCGCAGAGTCGCTAGGCGTGGCATTGCAGTATCTCTACTTCCAAGAAGTCTCAATACGCAGAGCGTTACATGGATTGAGTGATGAGCAGGAGCTAGTGGTGCTAAGCGGCATAGATAAGATTGGCAAGCAGCTAGAGATAGAACGTTTGTTCGAAGATATTACAGAAGTCTCGGATCGAAGATTGTTGCGTCAGCGACGCGCGGAGGAATTGGAACGGGGCCGAGATCAACTAGAAGGCTGGTTCAAGAACAACGTCCTCCGGCACAAGCGGGTCGTAGACACTGCAAAGGTGGACAACATACAATGGGACCGGGAGAACTCCATCTTCGCCGACATACTACTGCGTGCCGACGATGATGACGAGGATCAAGATTCCGAGGGCACCGATCGGTCACCAGGGCCATCAGAGTCATCCACGCCACCTGTGCGAAACACTCCAGGTCCTCTGTTAGGAATACCAGTCGGACCTGGTCGCGCACGTTCGAGGTCGCCTTCGCGTCAACAAGCGCCTCGTAAATCAACTATCTTCCCCGCGCACCGAGCTATGCTATTGCGTTCTGAGTACTTCCTGACCATGTTCAGCTCGCAGTTCAAGGAAGCACAAGACACACCGCATCTACAGATTGTGACTATCGACTGCTCGCCAGCAGTTTTGGAGACTATCCTTACATTCATGTATACCGAACGTGCTGACTTTGGTTTGGATATTGCAATCGATGTGCTCTTTGCGGCAGATCAGCTCTTCATCGAGAAGCTGAAGCAACGCGCCGCTATTATCATTTCCGCACTGGGTAACGGCGCAACCTCAGCAGTCGAGTCAGATAACCCACGGGGTGCTACAGATGCAGATGAAGCAGTGGACATCTATGAAGTCATCCGAGCCGGGTGGGACACAAGAGTACAGCGGCTTGAAGAATTTGCTGCGCGATACATCGCCTACCGGCTGGAACACTACATAGACCAACCTGAGTTTGCAGAGCTAGTCCAGGAATCTGCAAATCGCGTCAAGGCACGTCAAGAGACCGATACTGTCGAACTCGTCGACGACATCCGATACTACCTGTCGGAACGATTCAGGCTTCGCTTTGAGGACAGCGGGCTGGATGAGATGATGGATGAGAACGCAGCTATGCAAGCCAGTGCCGATGGAGATCTTGTTGATGCTATGGGCGATTTCGCGCTAGAGGACGGTATACCTAATAAGGTGCAGCAAGATGAGAACATGGCGTCGGTCGAGCAGCAAATTGCTGCTGGTGTCATTAGAAATCTGGATGGCGAGGAAGTCGGTGATGAATTTGCTCAAGATGCGATGAACTATCAAATCCTGCTAGGGAAGATAGATACGTTGCTTGAGAAGCTAAACTTGGATGCTTAGACAGAGAATCCAACCAAGCTTCATGCTAGATGCAAATTCACTTGCATGGACCGTAGCCCTTCAAGGCACACGGTCTTGCTGTCGTGCCGCAAAATGCAGAAGCGCAACACCCCTGCCTAACCGCACTTATTGACACAGTTGTATCTCCAGCACGTGTCCAGACCCCAGGCAGATGTTTAGCGAATGTTGAAAATCATCTGCTCTCTAGAAATACGCCCCATTTCTATGATACCTTCTTCATCCACCTTTCCCCCCACATTGCGAGAATACTTCTTGTTAGATCCCTCGGCCGTCTTCACATCGACTCGCATCATTATGACATCTGAATTGGTGCACGACTGTATTCGTAATGACCTCTTATGCCGACTACGGTGGAATTTGTTGGCCGACTTGCACAATATCGAAATTGTGGTAGGGCCTAAGAACGAAGAGAAGACAGTCCCGCTATTTGACCACCCCTCTGCGAATGATGACATCAGTGAGCCTGGTCTGAGCCGCATTGAGGTGAACAGCCGCGAATGTCTCGAAAAGTTCTACCTCTCGTACGATTCTGACCCAGAGCCGGACGGTTATCGACCCCCACCCTCTCTCATCGTTTCAAACGAAGACGGAAGGTCCATTACGTTGAGGCAGTTTGTTACCGAAGTGCATGCCTACCTGAACGAGCATTTGGACGAAGTCAAAAGCGCTCAGAGAGTAATGGCCGGGACGCCTTGGTCAGAGACGATGCTGTTCTACCGGCGTGCCTGGCCAAGGAGAACCGATGGTGGTAACATCATTGTGAACGTCGAATTAATGCCTCACGCTCGGGATGCCGATTTCATAGAGAAGCTTTGGGCTGCTCAACTGATACAGGCCCATGCGTACGAACAACGGCGACGGGCCTGGGCGCCGCGAAATGCGAGCAGTGCACTTACTTTCTTCTGATCACTTCCACGGTCCATGGCACAGGCCGACCAGTTGAGAAATCGGTCTCGATACCTTTGGGGACGAGGAATACGCGTCAACAACAATGAGTGGATGCTACAATTCTTCTCTTTGGATGGGTGCCATGGTCCCTGCCTGCCATGAAGCGTACATCATCTTCCAACTATACTCAAGGGAAATTGCAATCACTAGCCACTACATGAGGTTCCAAAGGCCCCCCTAATTTGTCTAGCATGTTATCTAGTGTACCATTACGCGAGCAGGAAAAGCATCCCAGATGAGCTGAAATGGGCCTGGAAGTCTGGAGCCATACTAGGGGGTACGCCGGCGGAGGGAGCATAAGGCGGGTATTTTGTCAAGCCTGGTTAGCAGAATGAAAATCAAGCTTTCTGTACCAAGAGCATTCGGTCTATCTATGGCGCTGGTAGCCAGACTGATTTGCAGTAGGCGATGCTGTCTTAGTTGAACCTACTTCATCATAGCTATTGGTGACATCATGGTGGGGTTCGGTGCGCAGCTCCCCGCCAAATGGTCGTTGACAGCTTGACAAATACCGTAGCAACTCATAATGCGCGTCATTGCCCGAGCGACCTCAACTCTTCAAACTCCAACGACTCGGCTCTTACCTCAACACTTGGGAAGAGCTTCAATCGCAAGGCCGCGACTATTCACAAGCTACCAAGCAATACCAACGCGCAAAGTACTTCCAAAACAACACATTGCCAATATGTCGACCGAATCTACACAGTCGCAGGCATGCTGCAACACACCTGCGGTGGTCAGTAAAGGCTACCAGCCAAAGGGTGATTATATTGAGGTAGACGGATTGAAGACCTGTACGTCCAACACCGAGACATCACGTCACGTCCCGACTAAATTCTACAGACCAGACCGGTCCCAAGGACGCAAAACAAGGAATTCTAGTCGTCTACGACATTTTCGGATTCTTTAATCAAACACTGCAAGGCGCTGATATCCTGGCTTACACCGACAGCCAGAAGTACCAAGTTTTCATGCCTGATTTCTTCGAGGGCAACCCAGCCGACATCTCCTGGATGCCGCCAGACACCAAGGAGAAGGAGCAAAAGATGGGTGAGTTCTTCAAGTCGCAAGCTGCGCCTCCGAAGACACTGCCGCGCATTCCGAAGATTGTCGACGAACTCAGCCAGAAGAACGGCATTGAGAAGTGGGCTATCATTGGCTTCTGCTGGGGCGGAAAGGTATGAACAAAGTGATTCAACCTTGATGCATGTGCTAACACCGCACAGATTGTCAATTTGTCGTCCATGGAAGGCACAAAGTTCAAGGTCGCCGCTGCGTGCCACCCCGCCATGGTTGCTGGCGACGACGCCCCCGGCATCAAGATTCCCTACATCATGCTTCCTTCCGGCGATGAGCCTAAAGACGATGTTAAGAAGTGGGAGGAGGGTATCAAGGTTCCTCACGTTGTAGAATGGTTCCCAGACCAGATTCACGGCTGGATGGCGGCACGCAGTGACCTTGAGCAGGAGAAGGTTAAGAAAGAGTATGAGCGTGGGTATAAGATGGTGTTGGACTTCTTCCACAAGCACATGTGAGTTTGATAGAGCTGTGGTAGTGTAGAGTTAGATGCTGAGTTCGCTAGGGGTTCCGAGGCGAAGCTCTAGTATAAAGGTAAGCAATGTCGACAAGGAATAATATATATGATTTTATGACATGAAAATGCTGTTCCAACACTGTAAACAAGCTGACTGCGAGCATTTCACTAGCGCGCTCTGGAAGGCCCCATGGGCGAGGATGACAGCCCAGAGATGGCGTGCAAGCAATTTTGAAGCCGCGCAACCATTATCAACTCGTTGGACTCATCGCCAATGTGGAAAAGGTCCGACGGAGTGGGATAGAGGGCGTCGCAGGATGATGAGAGTAGGGTGTGGGGCTCTTAGCCGTGGGGTTACTCCATGGGGCCGTGTGCATTGGCGTGCCCAGGTGGAACGGCGGTTTAAAGGCCGAGGGCACGTCGGCAATTGATCACGTTGTGGACGAACATGTCGCAGGTTATCTAGGAGCATTGGGCGTACTTCGGCTTACTTTTGTCGCGACTTATCTCTTCGGTGTATTTCTGTGTTTTGCTCTCGTACATTCTCCAGCCACGAGATATAGAAAGCACACCTCATCATGGCTCTCGGTGCGTGTTCCCATTTCGTGCAGTAACAGCCGCGGCGCGCTTGTCACGTCAACCCCCAACCATGTCTCTACCCAACTCACGTCGTGCATCTAAACTGACCCGGCTTTGAAGCACCCGTAGCAGGCGCAATTGCAGGCGTTACCGCAGCTGCCGCCTACATCGACGCCAAATACCACATCACCAAAGACCTCAAGAGCCAACGCGTCCTGAAGGCGGCCGCGCGCGACCTCGAGAGAAATGGTAAGCCCGAGCTCTGTAGACTGTCCGTCTGCTGTATTCTAACAAGACACCAGCACAAGGCAAGGGCCAGTCTCTGTGGTACCAATTCGAAGCCCAAGTCCGCCGCCTGCCCTCGACCGAAGAATGCATCTGGTCTCGCACCGGCTGCTACACATGGGCCGAAACCTATGCCAATGCCTGCCGATATGGCCAATACCTCCGCCAAAATGGCGTTGTCCCCGGTCAGCTCTTCGCCATGTACATGATGAACCGCCCCGAATTCTTATTCGCACACCTCGGTAGCTGGAGCATAGGAAGCGCGCCAGCGTGGATCAACTACAACCTCGCAGGCGATGCGCTGGTGCACTGCTTGAAAGTGAGTGGCGCCAAGGTGTTGCTTGTGGATGAGGATCAAGAGTGCAGAGATCGTATCGAAGCTGTGAGAGAGAGGCTGGAAAATGAACTGGGCATGACTGTCCTAGTCCTCGACACGGCTCTGAAGGGAGAGATATCCAGGCTGGAACCCGCGAGGCCCGAGGATGAGCTTCGGGTGGGCATGAAGGGAAAGTTCCCCCTCTTCCTGTTCTATACAAGGTCAGTGAGCATCATGGCAGCTGTTGCTGGAGCGGTGCTGATTATGACAGTGGCACGACTGGACACCCAAAAGCTTGTCCTTTCGAAACCCAGAGAGCGGTCGGTTTGACTCAACGTGTAGGTGCAATGGGGCTGAAGTCCGGGCCCAACGGCGACAGATGGTATGTCTGCATGCCTCTATACCACGGCACTGGAGGCACTACAGCACTCGTCTGCATGGTCACCGGTCTCACATGCTGTATCGGAACCAAGTTCTCAACATCCAGATTCTGGACCGACGTACGCGATTCGAGATCTACCGCCATCGTCTATGTAGGAGAGACCGCTCGTTACCTTCTCAACGCCCCTCCAAGCGATCTGGATCGGAAGCACAATGTCCGAGCCATGTTCGGAAATGGCCTTCGCCCTGACGTATGGCAGCGATTTGTCGACCGCTTCGGCATCGAGGTCGTTGGTGAATTCTTCAACAGCACAGAAGGCGTCATGGCGCTGTTCAACGGTTCTCGTGGACCCTTTACCGCCACGTCAGTCGGCCACCAGGGTATCATCGATCGCTGGCGCACCCACAATACCTACGTCCCCGTCGAGGTCGATATCGTGACAGGAGATCTCCTCCGTGATCCCAAGACCGGCTTCTGCAAACGAAAGGCCTATGAGGAGGGAAGTGAGATTCTCGTCCAGATGCCAAGCGAGCAAGCTTTTGTCGGCTACTGGAACAACCCCGATGCCACAGAGAAACGCTTCGAGCGCAATGTCTTCAAGAAAGGCGACCTCTATTACCGCACTGGCGACGCACTGCGCCGCGACGCTGATGGCCGTTGGTTCTTCATGGACCGCCTCGGTGACACCTTTCGCTGGAAATCTGAGAACGTCAGTACAGCAGAAGTCAGCGAAGCACTTGGCTCCTTCCCAGGGATTCAAGAGGCAAACGTTTATGGCGTCGAAGTGCCTGGCTTTGATGGTCGAGCAGGCTGTGCAGCTATTTACATCGACCCTGCTCATCTAGACTCCTTCAATTTCAACGCGCTACTTGCGCATGCGAAGAAGAAGCTGCCAAAGTACGCAGTACCTGTGTTCTTGAGGGTCCAGAAACAACAAACGACAATGCACAACAACAAGCAGAACAAGGTTCCATTGAGGAACGATGGCATCGATCTAAGGAAGCTTATGGAAAGGGCGGACAAGGAAGCCAAGGAGCAAGGGAAAGAAGAGGCTGAGTACGACACCATGTACTGGCACCCTGCTGCTCTTGGATCTGGCAAGGGCAAGACTGGTAGCGACGACGGCTATGTTGTTTTTACCATGGCGGACTGGGATTTGCTTAAGGGAAGCGTGGATGTAGAGGGCGGTGCCAAACTATAAGCTTTCCATTTTCATGCGTGCTTGGAGTTTTTAGCTAGCGTTCTTGTTTCGAATAGATTGTACATCTACATCCTGACCAAATCCTAACGATGCACTTGGATGACCATGAATGGCAGACTTGGGATGGATTTATAACTTCTCAAGAACAACCACACATCGCAGGACAACGTTTTGTATCACTAGAGGACTCTCGATGAATGCATTACACTAGTATCTCACATTAATCATCCTCGACTACATTCCTCCCTAGGCTGATGTATTACCTGTGTTAATGATGAACGGACTTTCCACATACAGCACGGTTGAGCAACATTGCGTGAAACTGCCCATCTTCTTCAACAGATACAAGCAACATCATAGCACCAATCGATATGGGATTGGAGTATATCGCATCTGTAATCTAATATATAGGCTCTGCTGCACTGGTAGGGCGACTCAGACGAAATCTTCTACTAGTTGAGCTCCTGTTGAAGTTTCGTACTCTCATTGGTTTAGCTATTTGATCGAACCGTTTGAACGTAGGTAAACAATAGTAGTAGGTTGTAGTTGCAATATTTATCAGTTCTGATTATGCAATCCGTACGCGTTGAACTAGAATACGTAGTACAGTCAACAACAAAACACTGTGATCGCTTGATTGTTGATATGATTATTCATGTGACTCAAAGAGACCAGTTTATGCTATTTCATGCCACTGAATTCATACCGCTAAACTATGAAATCGTACGTAGAGGTCCCCTCTCCCTCGCAATCATCATATGGCTGTTCTTCATCACCATATAAATTTCTCAGCGTAGATTGGAAACTTTGAATCCCACCAATTAGTGTTGCCCGTTCCTCTTCTACACTTCCAACGTCGAAGACTACTTCTTTCCGAGCGTGACCTTGGCCAAACCAAATAGATCCGTTGCTCTCGCTCCAGTTTGTTCTTACACCGTCCTCCAAGCCTCGTCGGCAGAACGCAAGTAATTCTGCGTGTTGCTTCTGCTGGATTGGCGCATGCGCATCGCCAATGTACGAGGGAATCGTCTCCGGCGTTGTGCCTTGGAGGAGTTTGATGACGAAGATGCTGAGTTGGTCGATATATGTAATGAGCGGTGGTTGGCTGGGACATGCAGAGGGCATAGTGCGACTGCATATATACTCTAACGGTGGAAGAATCGATTTCATAGCATTCATCATATGCGCAAGTGCAGCGATGACATGGGATTGCTGGAGCCAGTGCTGACTGTCCTTGAGTTGTTCTGTTCCGCGGATGAAGGCATGCGAAACCGATACGATACAATCCAGTACGGATATGAGACTGTCGGGCTGAGTGATACGGAGATCGAAAATCATCGTATCTAGAACCGAGGGCAGCGCTTGCAGTATTGGCCTAGCTCTGGCAAAGGCTGTGCTTGATGAGAACGCTTCTTCTAGGTACGCCGGAAGGACGCCTTGCAGCAGTACTGATCGCAGTGCAACCCTGTCAGGAGTTGGTGCCTCGTCAGTACACAGAGCAGTCGTGAGCTGGTTGACAAGGTAAATCTGCTGGTTATCGGCAGCAGCCTGTTGCACGACCGTCTGTATAAAGACTGATAGTTGTTTCGCAATTCCTGTGTCTGACAGTTTAGGCGCATACCCACAAAGGCGTGCCACGACATAAGTGGGATCTCCAGCTGGTAGTGGGAAAGCGACGGAGTCCGTGAAGAAGGGTAGAACGGGACAGATATCGTTTGTATACTGCTTGAGGAACTGAACGATCTTCTGCACGAACTCGACGTAAGCGCCGGTCACCATCGTACCCTGACGAAGCTGCTGATAGTTGTACTTCATCGTTGTCATAAAGTCCTTCAGCATAGACGCATACGATCTCTTTATGTTAGCAAGGCGCGCCGGCTCAGCTTGAGCAACCGATCGAACGTCATCGCGCATATTCGACAGAATACTAGAGATAAGCGCGAGGCGCCGCGTACGCAGAGTATCAGCGGTGATATCCCACTCATCGGTATCTGTATTGCGGAAGAAGGGTAGGTTCTGCATAAGTGGGTGATGATCATCTGTTCGCGCGATGGCATAAAACAGTCGATGCTGGAACCTGAGCAAAGACTCTCGCTCAACCAAGCATACCATTAGGGCTTGGAGGAAGTCGTGGCGATGCTCTTCGTAAGCGATCGAGTCGCAGTCGATAAGAGCGGCCATGAAGTACGGGCCGAATTTGCGCGTCTGCTCGGTGTGCCGTAGCTGTCTCCATGATACCTGACTGAACGAATCCAAGTAGTACGTCCATGACCGATCACCTGACGCTACCTGACCTTCTGCGATCAGAACCCATGTGTCAACGCAGTCCATGAGGAGGTTGTCGTCAGGGGAGTTTTCCGCGCCAAAAGCGTTGGACAGCAGGTGCCAGAGGGGCTTCTGAATGAAGTCGAGGCCTGATTCCTGGATGACCTTTGCGGGGACGTCAGAGTCGATGCCTTCCAAGTCATCCATGTCGGGGAAGTCGCCGTAATCCTGGCTTTCGTCACTCGTCTGTTGACTCACGTCCCTCTTCACATGGGCTTTTTGTAACTTTGCAAAGCTCTGGAGAACTTTCATAGTGTCGCGAATGATGCTGACAAGGCGGCGATCTTCTAGATGAGGGAGCTCAAGCAGGCACATGATGTCGGAATCAATGAGGAAGGCTCTCATGGATAAGTGGTCTCTTGCATGAAGGATTGCTCTATTCATCCCGGCAATGCAGTCTCGTAGTGTCGCAATGACCAGCTCCTGGTTTCTCTCCATTGTTTGACGGACCATGACTGCGGAGATATCGGTAGTACCATCTAGGACGCCAGACTTCAAGTAGTCATCTGCCTCGGTTTTGGCCAGCTTGTACTGTCTTAGTGTTTGATGCATTATGTCTTTGTACCACAATGCGAACGGTCGTGCAGAGGTGTACGGCTCCTCGGTCGATAGTTGAAATGTGGCGAGGTTGGCCCAGGCTCGAACGCTGACTCTACAGGCCTCGCGGTGAGAGCTTTCGTGATTGACAAGATCACGAATGTGATCCAGTTTCGGACGACAGGTTGGCGGCGCAGCAAAGTAGAGAGTGGAAAGTAGGTCATGATGATTGCGGAGTGCTACCAGATTCTCTTCGTCTAGAGGCTGATCTTTTGGATAAGCACGCCCGTGGTTAGGTAGAGACCGAAAGACAAAGCTGCGAATCTTCTTCTCTGGATAAGCGTTTGTCATACCCTGGAGGCCCAGAGCAAGACATATCAGTGCGATGTGGAAGGAATTCTCGTTTTGCTCGACGACGAACGACGGTGATGTTGCAAGATTGTTGAGAAAAGGTACCGATCGGTCCCCTGATTCCCGTCGCAGGTTCTTGAGGCCATTCTTACCGAAAAAGTCCAACACGGCATTAAGCATCAGCTCCGGACGACTCCAATGCCAGTGAGTGATCAACCGGTGGCATCGTGCGAGGTTAGCACGAACATAGTCGTTGAGTGACGCGCTGTGCTTCCTATAGGTACTCGGATACAGTTCAAATAACCGACGTAGGAGATCTCGGATACACGTCCAATTATCCTTCTGGAAGGTCTCTCTCCGGCTTTTAAGCGGAATGCCCGATGCATCGATCTCGTTGTAGGGGAGGAAAGTGAATATCGAAGCCCACGTAGTTTCGAAGGTAGGCAAAGATGTGGCGTTGGCGAGTCTGGAGCACAGGTCTTGGCCTACCAAATCCCAGAAATTACATGCTGGCATGTCCATCTCATCCAATACATGAGTGCAGATGACTACACTTTCAACGACAACTTCATTCTCTTGTATCCCCTTCTCGCGTACGGAATGTCGCTTATTTTGGTCCAGAAACTTGCCTAGATTTGGTATACCATGTCGCACCAGCTGCGTGATGATAGTCTTAGACAGGTTCTTGACAAGACCAACAAGCTCGACTCGATTGCCTTGATCAACAGTAGGATGTTGAGCAATACAATGAACCTGAAAGCTCGCGACGAGGATGTAGGCCATGGCATGTATGACACCATGAACGCCGCTAGAATTCTGACAAGCCGTAGTTCTCTGAGCAACCGACAAGCTGTCAAAGAGCGATTGGTAGAGCCGCATTAACTTAAACACACAGTCGTTTCGATCGATCGGGTCTAAGAAGCTGAGATGATCAGTTACCCAGTTGATGAGTGACCGTGCCAACCGAATCAATTGCGTCAAACCCTCATTGACTGACGATGGGATATGACGTTCAGCTTCCTGGTCTTCCAAAGGCTCAGACGCCGCTTTTACAAGGTCTTGCAACTTTGAAAACGTGTCGTCATTCCATGGGCCGCATCTGATCGAAAGAGCACCATGGGCAATAGTGCAATGACCAGCCGGATCATCAAAGCTGCGACCGTCGGGCTTGCTGATGACTAAAGCTCGGCGAAATTCGTCAGACCCGATGAAAGTAGACGAATGAAAATACGTATCAGCCGCTAGCGAATATACATCGAATGTGACGGGGTATCGAGTACCATAAGGACCCAGGCCATGGAGTATGGGTGAGCCTTGTTCAGTCTCAGCGTCCTGTACTTGAAGAACATCAGCAGTCTTAAGTATCTCCTGGACTGCCGGCTCGCTCGGCTGTCGATATTCCCGCGCATCGACATCAATTCTTTGCGCTTGGACCTTTCGCTTCAACCGTTTTTTGGGTGGAGGGTGCTGGTGTCTCGAACCTTCTGTTTGGCCTTCCCCTACCTCGTTTGCAGAAGGGAGGGGTGGCAGTTCAATGCCGTCGTCTGCGAGATATCGAGCTAACTGTGGATTTACGAAAGGCTCTTTGCTAGGAAGCTGAATACCGAACTCCTGATCAACACGTAACAGGCCCTTTTCGAATGCGATTTTCCGGTGACCTCGGCCAAAGTCGTTCTCATCGCCTTCTAGTTGTGCGGTTCTGAAAGGAAAAGGCGCTCGACGTACAGCCCGTCCTGGATCCCTGTTTGGTTGAGCACGTTTCTTCCCTGTTTTTGTGGACATCTTGA